CCATTTCTGAAGAAGGGTCCAGACCCGAAACGTCAGCTTTCCTACTCCTCTGATGCTGCTTGGCCTGCTGTGTTCATCCAGCTCTACACCTTGTTATCTCAGATTCTCCAGCATTGGCAGTTCCTACTATCTCCATTTATAACAATTGTGAATTCACAAAGAAGATAACCACAGAGAAAATATCTCTTGAGATAGCTGAAATAATGGCATGAGAGATTATGTTAATAACCTTCGATAACAAGTGGAAGAATCTAATGATATCAATATCATGGGTCACAGTAGCAAGCCTCCAAATACACAGTTTACCAATACCAATTGATTACAAGTCTGTTTTTTGTGTACCACTGTAATATGGCTTTCAATATTAGGTTTTATGCTAACCTACAGCAATAATCCAACATACAGTAATTACTTAGTTAGAAGTATTCTGGTGGCTCACTACCCATGATGACGCTAAACTTTACACAGCAACATTAGTCTCAGTTTGATTCCTTATTGCTCCTGAGTTAACGGGACTAACAGTGATAAATGCTATGAATTCCAAGGTTGGGACAGGGAAACTTAGCCTGAGGTTCCACATGGATTCAGCACCCAGTGACCACTGATGCAACTGTGTATGTTGAATGAGGATATGGGCAAAGCAATGGAGGGATGTTCCTGTATCCTATTTCAATATGAATTTTTTTTTCCACCAGGGAGAAAAAGATGCGAGAAAATACAAGGTTCATAACACTATGGAGATTAGCTGCATATCTGAATATATAATTATAATATTGTAGGATTTCTACGTGCCAATTTACAGCGAACTACACTTACCTCATCCCATTCCAGATTGTAATTGCTGACTTTGGAACCATTGTCACACGTAGCCTATAAAGGTTAAACAGAGTCAAAGTCTAACTCAACAGCAAGCTGTGCTAATAAAATAATTCTCCATAACTTGCAAGTAATCACATAGCTAAGCATAAGACACAAAGAAACTCAACTAAGAACAAGATAGATTATTGGTAAAATAATTAGACAAATTTTGGTAGAGATGCAGCAAATTTTCAGTTTGAAACAACCATTAGTGATTTTCTGTGCTATTAAAGATAGAACAGCTTCAAGGTCTCGTATCTTCAAAATGTTCTGTAAGAGGAAGATATGAGATACTGGGCAGAATAATTCAACAATAAGCATGTATAGACTGTTTAAGAGGTAAGGCTAAAGCTGAGGAATGTGAAAAGAAATCAAATAAATAACTAAGACAATCAGGGATTCTCAATCAATTGTCCGAAGTCACTCAAGATAGCAAATGCCTGACCAAAGAGGAGAATAATTAATGAGGCTGTTGATGGTGAACACTGAACCTGCTAAGAATGATGAATGCAGGAGCACAGAGTTACAGTTGATCAATTTAATTCAGCTGGGCAACTCAAGATTGTAGATGCAGTTAGCATAGAGAAACTGCAGGATAAAGAAAAGGCAAGAAAAGGGAGTGACCCATGACTGAGCCAATGAATTACAAAATGCAAAAAGTTGACAAAAATCAATTATTTGAAAAACTAAAACAAACTCACTTATAATAAGTAGCTTTGAAGTAACTGACTTTGATCTTGGGTATTTGTCTCACCTTCCACTGTAGGTTGAGGGAATGTTTGGTCCTGTTTATTATTCTAGGTGGCATTGGCGTGTCTGGTTCACTGCACAATGTTGTAAAACTCTCTGATTCCGATGGAGTCCCTCTTATTAGGTTAGACACTGCTTGCACCCTTTAGCAGACAAAATGATATCATTAACCTAAGCAATGAATGTAAGTTAATCGTATTCAACAAAAGCTAGTGGTTTGTTGAATAAAATTGAAAATTGATTTTTAAAATAGAATTCTATCAACCAAAGTTACATTTATGACTTTTCAACTTTGCAAAAGGTCTTATATTCACCACAAACCTGTAACTATTTAAACTTGTATATTTCCTTAAATGGACTGAACACATCCAAGATGATTCACAGATTGGAGGTGGGGGCTGGGAGTTTGGAGAAATTCAATTACCAAGCAGGGAAAAGAAGAATTAGGAAAGGTAAATAAAGGCAAGTTTAAATTGTGGTCTTGATTAAAGAAGTCAAGCGACATGATATAGCAGAGCAACTTTTGGAGAACGCAGGGAAGTAATCATTTAAGATTGTGCCACCCAAGATGGAGTAGATGGAGACTGGTGTGAGCAGGGAGAAATGGAGCACTGGAATGGAAGCTTGATGTCATCCTGGAGGGTGTACAGCTCAAGTCTGGAATGCAATACAAACAATGAAGAGGATAAGGAGCAAGTAGGGAACGGCATTGATGGCGATTATCAGCGAGCAGGGAATCAATATTTAATGAGATGTGAGAACATATATTTATAGATTACACCTCTTAATGCACAGGTTGGAAGGGGATGAGTGACTGGCACAGCAATTTGCAAATTGCTACAACCTCTCACCATTCAGTGCATTATCAAGAATCGTTTTTATTAGAACAAATCCCAAAGACCGTCCACAAGAATTGGAAACTTAGGGTTGTCACGGAGCTTAACCTTTTTACTAATTCACAGGTGCTCCTACTGAAATTAGATTGTGGACCTGCCCTTTAAATATCTGTGGCTACAAGAGTAAGTCAGAGGCTGAAATTCACTTCCTGACTCCAAAAAGCCAGTTCCCCATCTACAAGGCTCAAGTCAGGGCTGTAATGGAATACTCTCTGTTTCTCTGCTTGAAAACAGCTCTTACAATGCTCAAGACGTTTGACGCCACACAGGACAAAATAACCCATTTAATTGGCAGCCCATCTAACTAAGTTGAATATTCAATCCCTTCACCACTGACAAGCAGTACTGTGGTTTGTACCACCGACAAGATGCACCGCAACAAACCTCCATGCTCCTTGGACAGCAACTTCCAAACCTGCAACTCCCACCATCTAGAAGGACAGGAGCACTAAATACAGGGGACCAGCATTATCTGCAGGTTCCCTCCAATTCACACACCATTTTGACTTGGAACTGTATCATTGTCCCTTCACAGTCACTGGGTCAAAATCCTAGAACTGCCTTCCTAACAGCACGGTGTGTGAACCTACACCAAACGGACAGCAGTTGTTCAAGAATGCAGCACTCTACCACGTTTGCAAGTGTAATTAGGGATGGTCAATAAATGCTAGCCTAGTCGGCAGCACCTACTTCCTGCAAAAGAATTAGATAGAAATGCCAGTGAGCCCAATAACAGGTCTCACATTTAAAAGTACTTCACAGATATCCCAGAATGGTTGCATGGCTGAGAGGTCTGAGGTTCTAGACTCAGGTTCCAATCTCTACAGGGCCACGCATTCAAACCCCACTGCTTGGATCAGTGCAAGGGGAATTTCGCCTGAAAGAAATAGAGACTGAGTGAGTATATTTGGGAATGTGGGTCAGTGGGATTTGATGCAGGAGACAGAGGTTGTTATGGAACAGACCAGACCCCATCAAAATATTTTAAGAAGGTAGCCTAGACCCTAACTATTTCTTATTTTAAAGATAGATGTGAAGTGCATGTTCCAGGTGTGATGCAACTGGTCAAACTACTCGACATTAAGCAGAACACAGTTTATTTAAACACTACAGTTAAAATACAAACGAAAGAAAGAGGAATTTAGAACAATTACTATCGGAAAACTTAACTGAATAATAGATACATTACCTATTACTAATTAACTGTTCCACTACAGTAGCAATAAACATATCCCTTGGCAAAAAGGTAAATTCAGACAGATTCATACACGTAGTTCCTAATCCAGGAGGAAACAACATCAAGAGAGATTTCAGAGAATGTAGCAGCTAGGAATAATTTACTGAAGCTTCCAACCCTTCTGGGACCCCAAACAGCTTCTGACTGCGACAGCTAAAAACCAGAAAGCCTGGTCTGTGAGAACTGACCACTCTCCTTCCATTGATACAACTGTTTATTAAAAAAACCTAAAGGTCTCCTAATTGTTGACTTAGGTCATCTCCAGTAGCCAGTTCTAAACCTCTGCCTTTACAACCACTCTTCCCAAAAACCCGGGACAAAATAACATTTTTAAAGTGACAGCATTGTCATACCTCTCCCTTTAAATAAAAATGAACGATCTATATACAAAGATTTATATACATTTTATATATGTTTATACACATTTTAAAACACAGTCTTATTCTATTCTACACTACAATACATATACATTATGTTGACTCTAAGCATGCAAACATTCACTACTACATTCTATTTCAGTCCGTTTATGCCTGCCACTGAATGCTGTTTGTCATCAAAATCGTGACAACACATTGGCAATTACGTTTTCTCATCCTGCCATGTGTATCATTTTCAAATTGAATGGCTGCAATCTAAACACTCTGGAATTTTTGTCCTTAAGTTTCTCCAAAAACTTTAATGTGTTATGATCAGTATACATAATTGCCTGTATATCGTATACACATTACTGGCAATATAAACGTTGAAATGTTGTAACATGAACACCAAGCTCAAGGTTTCCTTCTCAATCATGGAATACTTCCGTTGACGAGTATTCAATTTTCTGGAAAAATACCCGATAGGTCTTTCTATCTTCTCGTCATCTTCTTGTAAGGTGTACAGCACTGACACTCATATCACTCGCACTGATAGCCACCTTGAATGCCTTTGCGTAATTAGGTGTGACTAACACTGGGGCAGCGGTTAACACTGCTTTCAGGCTGTTAGATGCCTTCTGACAGTCTGCCATCTACTGAAATTTTCTGCACTTCTTCCATAAGTCAATCTGTGGAGCAACCACACTGCTAAAATTTGATATGAACTTCTAATAAAACCCTGCACAATCCCAGGAATCATAGTACTGCTCTCTTCACCGATGGTATGGGAAACTCCCCAATAACCTTTGTTTTACATTCTGTGGGGCCACCTGTCCATGTCCAATAACATGGCCAAGGAATGTGACTTGGGCTTTTTCAAATTCACTCTTAGCCAGGTCGATCACCAAGCCTGCCTCCCGAAGTCGATCGAACAATTCCAATTAATGGTGTAGATGTTCCTTCCATGTGTGATTGTTAATCACCAGGATTATCGACGTACACCACACAATTGGTTAATCCAGAAATGACTTTATTGGTTAGTCTTTGAAATGTGGCAGTCACAGATTGAAATTGATGTTAGAAGCCAAACTGATTTAGGAACCAACTCATAATCATCAGCCATTTGAGCTGCTAATCTTGCAGTTTTAACTGTCTGCTGTTCCACAGGAGTTTTCACTACTTCAGGAAGTGAATTTTGATCTCCTCTAAAATAATTGTCTAAGAGGGTCATATGTTTGATTTATTTTCAATTATTTTACTCACCTATCAAAATTACTTTGTTTGAACTCTTCAAACTCAATGTACATTTGACCAGGGTCTCTCAGATTCCTGAAGTGTTGTCTGTAGGCTTCTGGCACTACCTTGTATGCACTTAAGATGGCTTTCTTCACCTCCTCATACTCCCCAGATAACTCCATTGATAGTGATGCAAATACATCACTAGCTCTACCTACCAACTTTGTTTGGATCAACAAAACCCACACGGCCACCAGCCACTTCATTTGTTTAGTCACTTTCTCAAATGAAATGAAAAAGGCTTCTACATCTTTCTCATCAAATTGAGGCAATGTTTGGACATTTTTAAACACATCCCCACCAGGCCTTTGGCTACGATGGGTTTGCTCATCATCACAATCCTCCTCACTAAGTCTACCTTCCACCTTCACCTTTGCCCTTTTAAGTTGACTTCCCTCTCTAACTGCCAACTTCTGAAGTTCAAATTCTCTCTCCTTCTCCTGCTAGGGCCTTCCTCTCCTTTTCTTTTTCCTCTGCTTTTAATCATAATTCAAACTGTTTTATTTCCTTTTAATGTTCAAGCTGCTTCATCTGCATTTGAATTCTAGCCATTTCCAAAGATTCTGATGGCATTTCCAGCAAATTTAAATGTTGAGCTATTGCTGCAATTACCTCCCCTTCTCTCACAAAGACAACCCCAACTCCAGCTTGAGAGCCAATTCTTCCAAAAAGTGCCTTGCTCACTTTTTGGAAAACTTCCAAAGTCACTTCTTCCACCCCCAGAAAACTCTTAGTGATTGAAAGAGCCATTACTACACACAGCATGCCTTTTTCAAAACAACCAAATTCAACACGCGAAACAAACGACACTAACATCTGCCACTCGCCGCCTTTGAGTCCAACAATCATAAACCCAAATTGGAATTGCAGATTTCGATCGTACCAAGAGCCGCCCAGTTTGTTATGGAACAGACCAGACCCCCTCAAAATATTTTAAGAAGGTAGCCTAGACCCTAACTATTTCTTATTTTAAAGGTAGATGTGAAGTGCATGTTCCAGGTGTGATGCAAATGGTCAAACTACTCAATATTAAGCAGAACACAATTAAAATACAAATAAAAGAAACAAGAATTTAGAATAACTTAACTAGTAAAAACTTAACCAAATAATAGATACAATACTAATTACTAATTAACTGTTCCAATATAGTAACATCCCATAAACACATCCCTTGGTTAAAAAAAGGTAAATTCAGATACAGGTTCTTACATGCAGTCCCCTAATCCAGGAGGAAACAACATCAAGAAAGATTTCAGAGAATGCAGCAGCTAGGAATAATTTACTGAAGCTTCCAACCCTTCTGGGACCCCAAACAGCTTCGGACTGCTACAACTAAAAACTAGAAGGCCTGGTCTGTG